TCCACTTGCATCGCCGGTAGAGATCTCCTTTTTTTTTTTTAAGTAGTCACTCATCCGGTCGATCTATCCGGTAAAAATAATGCGTGAGCGTGCGTGCGTGCGCGCGGACGCGCGGTGTGCTCACGCAGGTATACTCACTTCCGATCCGCACCGATTCGAACAAAAGACCCACGGACGCCGTTTAGAAGCACTGCGGTACAATGAGGAACGGAAGTTCGATCGATCGTGCGTATTTTTTCAGCGCGGGATTCGAGCCACGGCCCTCGTTTGCGTTTCAGATCGCACGTCGTTACAGAATTTTGCGCGGTTTATTACGTTTCACATCCGAATAAACTAATTTTTCATTATACGATGCGTCGTCGCGGCACAACATTTGCAGTCATTACACACAAAAAGATTTTAGCGTTCACTGTGAAATATATATAGAATGTACGATGTTACACGAAAATTTCACGCGATGGATACTTTAAGTAAATAACCACCGTCGAGCGAAGTCGCCTTATAAGGGGAACATGAGACGGCATTTCGAGAACTTTTTATCGATATGAATTCTGTATTAATTCCGACGCTGAAGATGGCTCGAAGCTAAACTGAAAACGTTCGTCTTGTCAAGGAACTAAAGTGTGTATTTATAAAGCTTGATTATAAACACTCTTTTATCTACACGTAGATATTATCTACGCACCGTTAACTGCTTTCGACTCTGAGGGTGGATTCAGATCTAGGCGGAAAAGTAGAAGATGGAAAAGCGGCAGCCAATCAGAATTCGCGCTGCTAAACGCTGGTTTCGGCTTTCCTACCTGTACTGCTTAACTACCGGCGCAAGTTTTGATTGGCTGCTGCTTTTCTGCTTTCACCTTTTCTGTTTAGGTCCGGACCCACCCATGTAGCCCTATTATTATATCTTATATTTTTCTATTTCTATCGTCGAATCCGCGTTACCGTTTACCGTTTCCTCGGTATTTCTCGACAGATGTTTTTTTTCTATCACGTATATAAATTGACTTTAATCTCGGTTCAATTAATTCTTTATCTTCTGTCGTTCTAGAAATTAAATAAAAGAAAACGCATGAAGCGTAAGTTAAGTCGAGATTAACGTAAATCTACGGTAAAAATGGACGGCAGAAGGGGAAAGAACGGATGCGTGTTTCGTAATGAGCTCTTTTTCTGAGATTAACGTTATTGCTTTTTATTCTTCACCCACGTCCTCGCTTCTCCGAGCACCGCTATCGATCCCGCTATACGCAAATCCTTCTCGAGCTTTTCATACGCTTTCGTGTGGCTGTTGTGGCTTGGAAACGCGGGCGATATATGCAGAGATCCAAATCGGGATGTGTTTCGAGCGCTCGATAGTTATCATAAGAATGATCCTATTATGGAACCGATGCTGGAGAGACACGTTCCCCGGAATCATTTCTCTCGGGGTATTCCTGTAGACACGTTATTACGTAGGTATTCTCGGATGCTGCCGAAAGCGACGATCTCACGTAAATTTTTTTCCTCGTTTTTTTTTTTTTTTTTCTTTTTCGGCGACGCGATGGGATTCTTGGCCGTATTCGTAGCCAGTTCTTATACGTAAGACCGTCTCGAGTGCAGTCTCGAGATGTCGTGAATCAATCGAAGATATCACTCGAGATGGTGTTAAAATAAGAATTAACCGACTATGAATGTCAGCCTTTAAGTGATCCTGCGCCGCAAGATTCTTAAACTCGACGCGCGATGTACTCCTAATCTCGAAACCTGGTGCACCCTACGCGATGACAACGATGACAACACGCTTGCGATACTCCACAAGAAGAGACGTGCATTCATATATGCACGCGCGCGATCGCGTGGCTGTATGTCGGTATTATATAGATGCATGTGTGTGTGATTTGTGTACGTATGTACCGCGCTTACAGCAGAAACGCTCGCTCGCGGTCACTCGTATGGGAAAGAGTGCGAGAGACGGCGGAGTGAATAAATGAGTCGGGAGGAGGGAGGAATGGGGAGGGGCGTGTGCGAGGAAGAGAGAAAGTGAGAGTGAGCGCGGCGCGGCTCGGCGGGGGTGGAGGGGGGT